CCTAATAGGGTGGATCAAAATATCGATTTTGCTCCACCAAGCGCAAACGATTTCAAATCAGTCCAGGTAATTCTCTCAATATTTGAGCTCACTGGGATGCAAACTCATACTGCACTGGCCATTAAAAGTTTAAATCGGTGATTTATGTATGGGGGCACACTTTTTGAAAACCGAAAATGGAACATGTAACGAAATTATGAAATATTTTGAACGTTAATAACTCAGCTGCCTCTGGACCAATTTCAATAATTTTATCACCAATCGATCAGAAATATTTCTACAGCAATGCTTCCGAGTGCTGATTTTCAACAAGAAACTATTGAAAATGTGGTAAATGTCAAGCATTGTTCAAAAGCGTCGAAATAACTAACAAATCCACCAATTACGTACATGCAAATGCTGCTTCCCCAACACTGTCATCAGAGAGTCGTTAGTAGACGAAACAAATCGAAGTGGAATTCGCCTCCAATCTTCGGGCGAATAGAGAGGATGCAATGGCGTAACATTTTCCACACTCATCGCCATATTCAGAACCACACGCCCCCAACGGTCACATAAAATGCTCTCCAGAGTTGTAATCTTGTAACCAAACTTGGAAGCAGGGATGCAAGTGATTTTGATCGATTCTCTTCATCGACTTTCTGTTTCGTTAATAACTCGACGACAAACACATTCATTGATGCGTTTGTTGTTCTGGATGATAGAAGAGCATAGGAGAAATAGGTTAGTGTCATAGCAGTGAAAACTAGCATCGCACCGCTTTTGGTTCTTGGGTATCACTTGCTGGTTGCAATTGTGCTGCTCGACATTTTCGAAGGACCACCAAAACCATGAAATTACACTTTTTCTATGGAAGCCTATCAGTCCAATTATTCGACTAACGATTAATCGTAAAGGCTATTCCAGCAATTCGATTAAATATTTTATCGAATTTTCAATTATTCGAGCACTTAACCGACATTCCTTCTTATTTCTACTCGTTTGATTTAGCGCAATAGAGAACATAAATAAAAGTACTAATCTATCTGAACAGGCATAGAGAAGAACCATGACGTGAAACAGGATCATAAATTTGCCGAAAAAAGTGTTGAGCTACAGGTTAAGATTTACCAAATTGTTGAGAGAACGAGTTTAACGAGAAAAACTAAAAAGGGGATGAGCTTTAGCAGGGTGGACACTGATATTCTGCGGCCTTCCAACCTGACGCAGACACCAGTTCAACTCCTGTCTAGCAGCAGACAAGCCGAGAGTCTTGCGAGTGCCCAATCATTGAACCGAAGAATATGGGATTGTCCGGTCCGATTTACTGATCCAGCTGACTACACGTCGTCATCATCTTCCAAAGGTTTTAAGCCTGTACTACCATTGGCTTTTTTCAGGGCCACCAAGATTTTCCAAAAGAGTTAAATTTCTGAACATGTCCCAACTAAAATTCATATCAAAAGGTTCTTTTCAGGGCAATCATAGTCATACCAAAGAGTATAAATAGAGAGAACCCCGCTCAAATTCCTATTCTTACACAAAACACTACCCAAGTAACCAAAAGTTCCGCATTCAACGATCGAACGAAAATCACTTCCAAGTTCCGTAAAGTTCAAATAAAGTTCCGACCGAACCTTTAAGTTCCATAAAGTTCAAATAAAGTTCCGACAGAACTTTCAAGCCACTGGATTCGAACCTGTGTTTTTGGCATGCGATCTTCGAACGCTAACCACTGCGCCATAAATGTATTGGTATACGATGCAGGCAAACACCAATTTAAAATTCATCAAGGTGTTGTGCTTCGTATTCAAGTCAGTCAGCTGGACTGAAAACTCCAAAAGTAGGTGGGACAACAGCTCACTTTATTATATCTCAGATGACGCAGTGGTTCGTGCTGGAACACTCACGCAGAAGGACTGGGTTTTAATTCTTAAAACAGCTCCAATTCTCTACCACTAATGCTGATAAAATCAATACACATTAATACCAGCCTTTAGAAATAACTTTCATAAAAGTGCGAACTAAATATAGAATTGGTGTAGAGGACAAAAACCTTTTTTAATATTTTCTAAAAGTTCCGTTCAAGTTCCGCCAGAAGCTGCTTAGAATGCTCTTCAATTATGATACCGGAACTTTCAAGTTCTCATAACGACTTAAAAATGAGGCTGCTTAGAATTCTATAGACCAACACCAACCAAGCTGCGTAAGCCACAAATAGCCTTTTATCGGAACTTTTAGTTACTTGGGAAGTTTCTGCTGCAGTTAACAAATAAAATTTATTACATATATAAAGCCACGTAGTCCTACGTCACCATTACGTACAACCCCATAGGGCTGTCCCTTGTAGTTTTTGTTCTCATCGCTCTAACCGTTCGCTGTAGCGATCTACGGATAAGTTTGCTATCTGTACTAATTAATTAATTAATTTATCTTTTTATCTGTACTAATGTGAAATTTGCCTAGCTACAACTATGCAGAAGGCTGGCCCCGTAACGTGGGTAGATCACCTTTTCGTGGTACGTTACGGGATGTACGATCTACCACCGATTCCTAGTCCTGACTACTTCAAACTAGGGGAACAGGATTTTTCAGTAATCCAAGGAACACATCTTAGTCCTTGTTACTTTTTATGCCTTGTTGATAGTGACAAGACTCGACTTTGTCTACCGAGGATGATCTTGAAACAAGGAAAAAAATGAGTAAGTTGTCGTCATCTATGTGATTCCTAATCTTCTATTCGTTGTTCCCTAGTTTGAAGGGGTTAAGACTAGGGTTATGATGCATGGTCATTATCGGTGTCATACCTTAATTTTGTTGCTAAGGAATCCAATGTTGACTGACAAAGGGGCGCCTTTGGAGGGTGTTTCAACACTCCGAAGGGTATAAATAGCGGGACCTTTCAATTAGAGTCGGATCCTTGCGATAAATGCAAGAGTGCCAACTGTAAAAAAAATCGAATACTTCATCATTTCTCAATAGTGATGGAGCAATACGACATGCACTAAACTAAGGACACGGGATATACTTCAATAGATTAATTTCCTGGTCGCAGTAGTGTTAGGTCCCGAACAGAGGAAAAAGAAATGCAGAAGGCTGTATTTTAATTGAATCTCAGGATAACTCGTCATTCATTCAGAAGATGATATTCTTCTGCCATGCTCCAGTAACTGCTCAGCACGCCACATTGGTGTACATTACATCACAACCCCCGGTTTTCCCAAAGCTCTTTCGATGCGTATTGGGATCCCCAGCAACTGTGCCAAATTTTTCAAGATTCGGTTACGATCTGGATTTGTGGGAGAGCTTTAAAATTTGTATGGGAAAATGTATGCGAAATGGTCCGAAACTGCTCAATTGTTTATCAAGAATCACTCAATTTTTTCCAAACCTGGGACTTTACTTGAGAAAACAATACTTCATATCTTCGTCGAAGACCGCAAATCGATTCGATTTCTGCGCAAAAACTTATTGTTTTATTTTACTGTCCCGTGGTAGTCCGCGCATACCTAAAAGCTTATATGTACCCCAGTACGTATGTTCCGAACACATGGCCATCGATTTGCGGTCTTCAACGAAGCTTTTCTGTATAGTTTTCGCTATCTAATTTTCAGGTTTGGTAAAAATTGATCAATTTTTGAATTGTTGATAAGCATTTGAACAGTTTTGAACAGTTTCCCATACACTTTTCAATACAAATGATAAAGCTTTCCTGCAATTCTTTCAAATTTGGCACAGTTGTTGGGGACCTCAATACGAATCGAAAGAGCCTTGGGGAGTAGGGGGTTGTTAAGTTGACCCACCCTAGTGTACATACTTGGCGCGAATAATAGGGTATCCAGGCTACTATGTCATAAGTGCAAGATACAGTGTTCTCCTAAAAGTAGTCGATTAATCATTTCAGAGAAGTCGATAGCTTTCGTAATCAATTAATAACTAATTACCTTGAGTCCTAGTCAAAAAGTGGACTAATTACCTTGAGGTCTGGTCAAAAAGTAGGTTTATCATCCATATGATAAATTAAAGCAAGCCACTCGCACAATCAACCGCAAAACGCAACGGGAGGCTCAATAAACAGTGAGTTTTAGAGAAATTTTACGTTCAACAAACATATCAGTTACGTGTATATTTGGAGAAATTCATCCATTATTGAATCACTCGATTCCTGTTTAGGGTGTCCGTTTCTTTACGATTCCCAATTAACAACTGTAAAATGTAGAATGTCAACCCCTTAATTTATAAATTGATATGCCTACGCTGTGGCATCAGGAAAGGCCAGTTGTAAATTCCCAAATTTATCGCTGAAGCTGCGATAAAATTTTACGTTTTACAGTCATCCGAGAGATAAAATTTCTCCCGCTCTCTCCATGGCTCCTTCGACTGTTACCGGTGCGGTGCTTGAACGTGCAATCAACGCGAACTTATATGGCAATCACTTACCTGTTGTAAGGAATGAGACATACGCAGTTGAATTCACACCCAACGACAACAACACTCCCTATTCTTACCTGGATGCAAACATGAAGCATCGATTCTGCCATATACGTCCCGTCGTAAACGATTGTGATTTCATGAGGATCCAACGGGTGAATTCGAACATAAAATTTTGAAAGTTTACGTATTTTAGCTAATTGACTGTTTGAATCGTAAGAGTATAGCACTTGTTGTACCGCCATGAATAATTAGTTTCATAATATCGGGTATGCCGTTTTGCGGTTGATTTATACCGCATACATATCAACAGAAAATCAATCGTGTAATACAAACGTATCGCCATCTATTTGCCGTAATTTATTTAATAAATCAAACCAACATTTAGGTCAATTATCTCTGCAATCAAAGTGGGCGGTCACCCACGATGAAAACGAAAACGTCCATTTTATTAACACTGACAAATGAACGATAACAGCATCGGAAGGCCTCCATTGACTGTCAACCAAGTTAAACCAAACCACACCAGAACGTCCGACCGTTATCATGAATGCTATTCTATGTAGTTTTTTTCCTCTCTCTTTTTTCAGCATCATCTTGGCACGGGAGCGACAGAAGCTGTCGTAATCAATGCGCTACACGGATTGCCGACCTTGCCAGGTAAGACGAGTAAAACTTGCTACTTACTCTGCTACATCTTTGACATTGTGGCAAATCAATTGATTAATTAAAACCGCAGGGTAAGTGCACGAGTTTTGACCATAGCTACCAATTTTCGTCATAATAATTCATAATTAGGATAAAGATAAAGATAATAATAATAATGCCCCCAAGCAACATTGATTGTTTTCAATGAGCCTTTTTTTATTCAGGCATACATTTGCTTCGTCATCTAAAAAATAGTTTAATCAGCCTTTAATAAGCTCATATTGTTTGTTGGGTACACACTACGAAAATGTCGTGTAAATTTCGACACAAAGCGGCCCTTTTGACATACGAATCAGTGGAAAGAAACGAGAAAATCAATTCAATCAAATAGGGAAAATGCAGGTAATGTCGGCCTAAGTGTCCCTAATTTGGGCCCATACATAAATTCAGCAATCGACTAAATTTTCAATAGCAACCAAAAATATCCATTAGTAACGTCCCAATAACGCGTTCATCTAGATAAAATTGATAAATAGCAGACTTTTAGCGATGGGCCCAAATTAGGGACATGTAGGCCGACATTACCTATATTTCCCCTATGTTTAGGTTTGAGAACACGTAATTTTACATGAAATGTTTGTGTTTGTGAAACGTCAGTTATATGTATAACTACCCTACCCGCTGTAACGAGCAATATACAAATAAACAATACAACAGTGTCTCGTATGCCTCCGCCATGGCAGGACGGCGAAACAATCGTTGTTCTTTATTATCAATCAATCCGTATCACAAAAACACAACGTAGGGATCCCACCCGTGCGCGATCATATGGTGCCGTGACCAACCACTTGATACCGACGGGCAAACTACAAAGGATAGTGCACAACCATCCAACAATTGTGAAGACACCGAGGACGATGATGAAGATGCAGCAGTGAATGGCGACATCGACTCAAAGAATTCCGCTTCACTTCCCGCTACGATGGTGTGGCCCTCAGGTAGCCATCTGGCAGATTATGTACGTTCCTGGCTCACCGTGAACTACAAGAGTTCTGGTCAGGAAACATACTCACTGTACAAGGGCGAGTGCGTATGTCGGATTCTTCAGCAGTATCGTGTTTTGTTTCACTGTTATCTTTGTGTTATCAGAAATAGTATTTTACCTTATATTTATACGACTAGTTAATAGAAAACAGTTAGTTTTGGGGAGGCGTATGTTTGTGAAACGTCAGTTATATGTATAACTACCCTACCCGCTGTAACGAGCAATATACAAATAAACAATACAACAGTGTCTCGTATGCCTCCGCCATGGCAGGACGGCGAAACAATCGTTGTTCTTTATTATCAATCAATCCGTATCACAAAAACACAACGTAGGGATCCCACCCGTGCGCGATCAGTTTGTTTACGTTCCATGATTTACGTCCAATATGGATTACGTCTCGTGTAAAAGTAGTTATTTCTAAGTGTGTAGGGTCTATCTGCATTTAACAAAATCAAAATTGCTACTCGGGGGCAACTCTTTAAGTTCCAATCTTGAAAGTAAGAGGATCAAAATAGGAGCTTGGCCAAAATGGATGCCATACCCCTTGAGGTGTTATTGTAAGAACAGTGAACATAACATACTACATGCACAGCTTTCATTAGAAATAGCAATCAGGATATATTGCTGTGCATATTCTTAAGCTGAAGGTCGACCTAATTCAACAGCTCAGTAGCAGACAGAAATCTATACAGGTGGACCGATTCGTGTTATAGTTAGTAGTTACCTTTATTCAATCAATTGTTCTAGTTAATTAGCTTCTATCTATATCTGTATAATTTTAGAATATTTTGACCACTACCAGATATCGAGCTTCTGGCTTCTTTTCCACCAAACCCTTATTGGTTATAGCATTTGAACACTTAATCACCAGAATAAGATAGAATGAATAAGATCGACCCTGAAGGCTATACCAAAGAAGAATGCTCTGATGAATCGGTTGGAGAAACAACTTTTTTTTTTCGTGGCTCATGAGTTCTGTCACTTTTATTCACGCACCCCTATGCCAGGTGTGTGTTTTAACGCTTTAACGCTGCCTCACGAAAGAGTTGACGTTTTGTTTTTTTTTAACAATCACACCGAAAATCAAAAACTTCAATTACTCGAATAATGATCGATTATTTTGACGTAGAATTACGTCTTTCGGCAGCATATTGGGAGTACAAATTAAAAAAAAACTAAAATTGACCGCATTACGATAAGTGGTCAGGTTTTGACCACATATAACTCTGTCAATATTGGATGGATTTTAAATCTAAACAAGCCAATCGATCTGCTAAATTGAACACTTTATTAATTTTCAATAGGTCACTACTGAAAATTACACAAATGTCCAACTGTTACAATAGTGATCAAAATTATCACCGATTGCCTGCAAACAGCGCATTCCCTAACACAGATTTCAAAATCGAATTCGATCCTGTCTCACTGAACGGTGGTTATTCAATCACCGTGCGTGGTGGTGTCCGTTCGGTCGTCAGCAGCAATAGCAGCAGCATTGCTTTCAAGCAGCGAGCTGCAGCCCACGTGAGCGTTCATTCACCGAAGAAGGAGGAAGAAGCCTCACCGATACTGATCGGGATCCATCTTCGTGAGTCGCTGTGGGCCATCTATGCCAAGTGCGTCACCCTCGTTTCAAACAACATACAGGTCACCAGCCTCATCCGTGTTGAACACCATAATAGCTCACCATTACTCAACCATCACGACAAAACGGTCCTTTTCAGGACCACCATAAATTTGGTAAAGAGTATTTTTTGGACATTTGTCAAGGTCATCAATCGGATGTCAGTTCCCATATGTTTAAATATAACATACCATATATTTTTAAGGCAACATTGGCAGTGCAATTTCAGAATCCAGTCGGTCGCGGCATGAAAGTGGTCTGATGTTGATCCAGAGATGATGGATTTTAATTCAAAATACGCAAATCGATAGAAAATTTTTCTACGAATCTGTTAAAATTAAGGATTTATCATTTTTTTTAATTATAATTAAAATTGTCACCGGATGCCTGCGAAAAGCGCTTTCCCTAACACAGATTTCAAAATTGAATTCCATCCGGTCTCACCGAACGCTGTTTATTCAGTGTGTGATGAGTGGTGGTGTTCTCCAAAACACAACGAAAGGCTCCCCGCAAGCAACTAGCTATCAAGGCTGCCCTCAACCGCTGAACGGATTGAGTTACTCATCGTGAGCCGCTGTGGGTCATCTCTGCCGAGCGTGTCACCCTCGTTCCAAACAACATACAGCTCGTCAGCTGCATCTGTGTTGAATACCCTAATAGCTCAGCATTGCTCAACCATCACGACAAAACGGTTTTTTTAAGGACCACCATTAATTATTGTTGTTTAAGAGCTAATTTTCATTGAACGTTCGCTCGCCTTGCTGCCAGCCACAAAAACCTCAAAGCTCTTTGATTATGTACCCAGCAACCAAACGTTTGTGGTCAAACGCGTCGAGTATTGAAGTGGGGGGAAATGGCTCTAATGTTGGCCTAAGATTGGGCCCATCGCTGAAAATCTGCTATTTATCAATTTTATTTAGTTGGGGGCCGAACTTAGGGGAATTTAGGCCGACATTACATCCATTTCCCCTACATAAAAATTCTCGCAATGACCGAATACCACATGACGATGTAAAATAACCAGAAACACTTCATAAGGTATTCTCCTTATTGCTTTTGCTTTTTTTTTTATTATCTATTGAATACGTCAAAAGTTTCGTACATTTTGCGCACGAAAATGCTTAATTTTGACATCAGAAAACGAGGCGTTTCCGTGATGAGAAAAGTGGTTTCCCAGTCACCGAATATTGATACCAAGCACTGAGCATGCTCGACCGTACCTATCTTTATGTCTTTTGATGCAATGATTGGCTTGTACTACAAGGACATCGACAGAGCACCTAACAAGCAGAACTCTCAAATTGCTTCCAAATTTCAACCTTTCGAACTTTTTCACTGATAACGAGTTAAGAAATCAATTTAATATATACTTTACTTTTGCTGTGACATCAAAACTACCTTTCGTAATCCTACGTCAAATCTACGGTCGTGTCTTGGATACAACCTTATGTAGATAGTGTCTATCATCACATCAGGTAGATGCATGTTTCCTCTAGTCCAGTATATGAAACTGACTGATGGACTGACAGTTGCTTTGGGTCTGTCCATAAACTACGCAGATCGCTTTATAGATAATTTAGAACCACCTTCCCCCGTGAAGACCTTTATTCATACATATTTTAAATGCTTTTCTATTCCTGAATAAAAAAAAACAACGGATTTTCCTGTATTCAAACATTTTATTTTAATATTTTAAATCTGAAGCCGTCCTCACGGTGTTCATTTTGATAAATGATTTTTTTTTATTTTAATGTCATTGATTTAGCTAACTTGGATAAGCCACAGCTATAAAACAAGACCATGCTGAAGGTGGCTGGGTTCGATTTCCATTCCTGTTTATGAATTATTCGGGATGGCAAAATTGTGGAAGTGCTTAAAAACTACAAGGGACAGCCATATGGGGTTGTACGCAATGGTGACGTAGGACTACGTGGTCTTATATAATAAATGTTATTTGTTAACTGCAGCAGGAGCTTGTGTTTTGTGTAGGAATAGGAATTTGAGTGGGGTTCTAGCGGGGTTAGAAGCAGAGGGGTGAAAGTCAATTCTCTTCATCGATTTCATCTTTTGATGACCATGGCTTCACTAACCTATTTCGCACTATTTCTGCTATGCTCTACGATCGTCCAGAATAACAAACGTATCAATGAATGTGTTTGCCGTTGAGTTATTAATTAAACAGAAAGTAGATGAAAAGAATCGATCAAAATCAATTGCATCCCTGCTCCAAGTTTGGTTACAAGATTACAACTCTGGAGAGCATTTTGTGTGGTTGTTTGGGGATGTGTGGTTCTGAATATGGCGATGAGTGTGTAAAATGTTACGCAATTGCATCCTCCCTATTCACAAACGCCCGAAGATCGGAGGTGAATGCCACTTTGACTTGTTTCGTCTACTAACGACTCTCTGATGACAGTGTTGGGGAAGCAGCAATGCTACATCCACATGCTTCGTCTAGAAACGATTCTCTGATGACTGTGTTGGGGAAGCAGCATATGCATGTACGTAATTGGTGAATTTGTCAGTTATTTCGACGCTTTTGGACAATGCTTGACATTTACCACTTTTTAAATAATTTCTTATTGACAATCAACAATCAAAAGCATTACTATCGTTGCATAGAAATATTTCTGATCAATTGGTCATAAATTTATTGAAATTGATCCAGGCGCAGCTGAGTTATTAATGTTCAAAATCTTTCATAATTTTGTTACATGTTCCATTTTCGGTTTTCACAAAGTATACCCCAATATAGAAATCACATACGTAGTCATACGTCAAAAACACTAAGTTGAAAACTGGCGTAAAGTTCTAGGTGGGACGTAACACCCCCAAAAATAAGTGGTTATAAACATTTCGCCAAGTAAATATGATTTGATGATATGATAATGATTACTCATGAATTTGCAGAATGTAAACCCATTACCTGGATCACCAGAAACCTATTGTATGCTGTCAATTAGCTCTACTCATGTTTCCACTGCCACCATATGCAAAAATATCCGAACTAGTTTTACGATGGTCATGGTTCTATGGATAATGTTTTGAGTGTCATTGGTTATATATCATGAAGATGTGATTTGATATTTCATTTGTCATAACCATGACATTTCGACCATATGGAACAACAATTCGTAACATCCAGAGCCGCTCCTAAAGTGGCTATGAGAGATGGTTTGACCATGTGGAACCAGGATCTGGAATATCCCAAAAACAGTTCTACGGAGGCCATATGGCTCTATGGCTGTATCATTTTTCGTAGAGTAGATCTGATTTGATATGTCGTTTGATATGTCGTTTGATATGGTTATAACAGATATCAAATTTGACCATATTGAACCATGATCCGGAATGTCCAGAACCGGTTCTACGGTGGCTATATGGCGCTATGGTTGCCGTTTTGAGTGCCATTGGTCATATTTTATCGAGTAGATGTGGTAGATAATAAATTTGGCCGTATGGAACCATAACCCAAAACATTCGGAATCGATTCCTTGTAGACATGTGGTCTTATGATTGTTCTCTATCATTTCCGGGAGTTCCACGAAAAAAAAAGATGTGCTCAATGATAAGTAAGATGCATGATAAAGATTGGAAAACACCCCCGTGCAAACACCTTCTTGAATATATAACAAAAAGGGACGGGTCTGAGGGGAGTACCACCCTACAGAACCACTCACCGGAATGATGTTTAAAAAATTTTAATTTAGTCAGCCATGGCATCTTTGAGATACAAAGCTTTGAAAATAAAATGTTTGTCCCAGGCTTTTACTGGTTAATATGTTTACACACAAAAGAAAACCATGGTCAACCAGCTCAATAATAAACATAACCTCTAAATTTTACGATTATTGATTCACTCAAATTGGTTTTAAATGTGTCGAACGTTAACCAAATGTTTAATTTATTAAGACTTTTTTCTGGACGAAGTAAATTTTAAATTTTTACTTAATTATAAGATAATATTTGCGGAACATAAAAGTCTGAACGACAAAAAAGTTCAATTTTTTCTGCTGATGTAGATAAATTACTATATATTATAAAAACTTTCAGTGAGCCAAATACCAACTTTTTGAACATGTGAAATGTTGTTTTTTATTATTATTCATCAGTACTAGATCAATCGGCTCATATAAATACTTGAAAAAATGCCTCTTGCATTATTTTATTTAAAAACCTACGTTTTATGTCAATTTGATCACACATATAGCCGTATCTCTACGATGTTTCAATGGATTTTTAAAATTTCAAATGTTATTTTTTTTTCTCTTTTCTCAGAAAAAGGGCTGTTTTTTAATTAGTTTATTTGTTAGGCTCAAATGTCAAAGGACCCAACGGAGCCGAAAAAACAGTCTTCCTGAGAGGTGACTTGAGATTAGCTTCCGCTTTCAGCCGTGCCCTTAACTCGTTTGCTTTTCCAAATTGCTTTTCCAGCCACTTGGGCACCCCTTCGTCTTTTATCCGCTTCTTCTCGGTATAGTCCACTAATCCGAATTTGTAGTAGTAATACGCGTCGAAAACAGGCGGTGCTTGCTTCACCTCCATTGTTCTTGTCGGCATCCGGATAAGTCACATCCATCTCCACTATCTATTCTTCAATCTAGCACTTCAACCGCTTCCTCAGTGTCTTTATCGTTGTTCACTGAAGACGCACCTCCATTCACTACACCAGCGTACGTACTGGCACTGGTTTCTTATTCGTTCCGTTGTTTGTTTTTCTCTTCCTCTTGCTGCTGTACTGGCTGCTTCCGTTCATCCGATGCCCCACCAGCTTACAACACACTTAATTTTTTTCGCCGAGATTCCAACAGCTGAGTAGTTCTGCAATTTATTTTGCTGAGATTTTGTAAAACAATTGTCGAGACTCAGCTAACAAATAATATTTTGCAGAGATATCAGCTAGCAAACAGATATTTTGCAGAGATATCAGCAAAAATAAATGCCGAGGTAATCGTTGAAGATTTTACCGAGTTAGATTAAGTGTGAAAGGAGGTACAAGAGTTTTTTTTCCCTTGGGTTATATATTTGAAACACATTTTTGAAAAATTGTTACTCAAATCGATAAAAAACCGTACATCGCTGAATTTTAGAAATGTTATGTTGTTTCATGAAAAAAAAAACATATGCAAGTAACGGTACCTGTGGTCCGGAGACCATGAAAATCATGAAAATCTATTATAATCAATGTTTTTCAATGTTAAGCCAGGAATAAAGTCAATATTCATTCAAAGTGTTTTTGTGTTACTTCATACGCGAAGTTAACGATTTTCAGAGTTGGTTGGAAATGCTAACATGAAGCTTTAGTGTGATGATTTATTAGCTAGAGAATGATCTTTAGAAGAGGGTAGGTGGATAGTTCCGTTAGAGTACGGCAGTATGAAAATTGAATAGAAGTTGAAAATGAGCGAAGGGCCATTAATGCGTCAGTTTTTCAAGATAGACGCACATTTTTGCCTAACCCGTACGATGTACGCGGGGACTTGAAGTATGTCTCTATCTTGAAAAACTGACGCATTAATGGCCCTTCGCTCATTTTCAACTTCTATTCAATTTTCATACTGCCGTACTCTAACGGAACTATCCACCTACCCTCTTCTAAAGATCATTCTCTAGCTAATAAATCATCACACTAAAGCTTCATGTTAGCATTTCCAACCAACCCCTCAATATTCATATTATTACTTTTATTCAAAAAAAAAACTAGATTTAATAAGAAGAGCTTTTTGAGTGCGTTGAAACATTTCCTTTTAATTCCGTAACAATTGCTTATTTTGTGACAGATACGTGTATTTCGTCTACTACTTGCAGACTTCATCAGTGCCAAGTACTCAACACCACCAACACCAGCACTGATGAAGTCTGCAAGTAGTAGACGGAATACGCGTATCTGTCAAAATATAAGCAATTATAAAGGAATTAAAAGGAAATAAATCAACACACTCAAAAAGCTGTTCGTAAAGCGATTCCGTTAAGAGGTTCGAAAAAATTAAAAGATAGATTTAAAGTTCTTTTATTTGACCATTTGATCCAAATAATCGGTCTAGTGGTTCAAAAGTTAGGAATTTAAAAAATAGGTAAATGTTGATTTTTTGGAGCACCCTAACACGGAAAGGGTCACCCTAATGGCGAAATAAAAATATGAGTCTAATTTATTTCGTTAAGGAACAAAATTACCAATTGTTACGAAACTCTAAGATCAACTCTAACTTTTTTTCTACAGATTTGCTGTATAGAACGAGGGGGGCGACTCTATCTACGATACAGGAAAAAATGTGTTTTGCTGTGGTTAGCTGCGCGCACGCTGTGTAGATAGAAATAAGATTGTTAACAATTCTGAAGAATTCCTGCAAAAAGATGATGTGCGATGCAAGTAGATTCGAGAAATGAAAGAAGATTTTTCGAAGATTAATTCGCTAATGTGAGATTTGTTGAGCATCTAGAATTAGGATTTAGATGTGTCGCCGGTATACAATAAGTATTGTAAGGGGTTGATCACAAACTACGTAAACAGCGTTTAACTTCTTCTTCTTATTCGCATTTTCTAGCTTATTTCTTAGCGCATATTAGCTTATTGCGTGCTCTCAACTTAGTGTTCTAAATGCACTTACACAGTTATTAATTGAGAGCTTTCGATGCCAGTACCAATGCATGAATTTATATATTGTGTGGCAAGCACAATGATATTCTATGCCCAAGGAAGTCGAGAAAATTTCCAACCCAAAAGATTCCCTCGACCAGACCAGGAAATGAACCCGCCGGCAATACCGTGCCTTTACTGACTAGGCTATGAGGCCCCTAACAGTGTTTAACCCTTCCATGAATTTTGCTTTTTTTCTGTACCGTGTTGTTCCAATGGGAGCAGTGTAACCGGGTACCCCATCACGAACGTAACGTTTATGAAATGTAGCCCCCCCCCCTCCCTGCGGTTTCTAAATAAATTCATTTTACATGGACCGTAGCCATTTACCAACCCCCCTCTGCCCCCTACTAAACTGCTTACGTGGTTTACCGACAACTCCCTATAAATGTTGCTTGATGAAAAAAACAATAAATTCCTCTCTTTTCTTTTTTTTGCAGGCATATGCCACTGGAAATGGAGGGCACACTAGCGCACAGCATGATACCAACCATGGACAGTGCCGCCACGGACGTCGACCGAAAGTGTGGCAGCTTGGACGTGGATCTGGATCGAAAGTTCCTAAATAATAATAACAATACTAGCATGAAATGTTTGCAATTCACTAGACCACCCGATCCACCACCACCACCTGCGTTACTGTTCGATTACGTAGTTGAAAAGAGCATCCAAAGTCAAGCCCAACAGCACAATCTCCTAGATAGCGAAATTAAAAGTTTTGAAAACATTAGCTTTACTAGCAATAGCGACGAGCAGTCAGCGAATAGTCAAGTAGATGAAGTAGCAACCAATTCACCTAGCGTTAACAGCCGGCCAGTAGTAAACACCGAAGTCGTAGATGCGAAAGAAGTGAACATGCCCAAAACAGGTACCGATACAGCGAAACAATGCGTCAATTCGAATGTTACCAATGCCTCAACTAACCACACCAGCAACCATAATACAACGAAGCCATCACCACCTATTGTTGTGACTCCGACGATAATAACGACCACACCAGAAGACCCATTGATAACCATCAGATCTAACCACCATGAAAGCTCAACTAACCACCCTCACCATAAACATCATCCCATCATCGTTTCACCTGCTCAGCAATCCGACGGAGTCTGCACGTCCGCACCCTCTGTCACCATGTATGATATGTGTCACCCGATTGTTACGCCACCTTTGCCTTCAATAACGACTGATAATCCGACTAACAATGACCGCACTTGCAAAGCTACAGGAGTCACTTCTGCTGACGCTGCTACTGTTGCCGCTGTCGCCACTACCACCATGGTCATCACTGCTTCTGCTGCCGCATGCTCAAGCAAGCCACCCACCCACGCCAATAGTCACCACCTCTACCACCAGTATCACCCTCAACACCACCTACACCATCCACATAACCAACTACCATCCGGGTTTTCTAATACCTGCTCACCCCACAGTGTCCGATTCATGACTCAGCACATTAAAATCTTACCGAAAACTCAATCCCTAGATCTGGTAGACAACGATGACCTGCTGGAGGCTAGCAATAGGACCGAGTCCCAGCTGGAAATCAATACGGCCGGGGTGTCGTTCAAGGGTCGGGTACTTCCAAAACTTCAAACCTTTGATCAAACTCGACCAATCTATCCCAACGTGCCGTACAGCCCGTACAACAGCCCCTACGGAAGCCCAAGAAGTGGCCGCCGACGGACGCCTCTGCGCGAATCCAGAAGAGTATCGATCGAACAATCCGGTAGCTTCCTGCAGCTGAATCAATACAAACTGCTGGATCAGATTGGCCAGGTGAGCAAGTTTTCATTTAATTGAAATTTCCCTTTGTTGTTCTCGGAGTAAATGCATATACAATTACACTGGAAAGTGAGCAAAAGTTGCTGGAGAAAAAAAAATTCGTGAGCAGAGAGCTTGAAATGAAAAAAAAAAGGAAACGAATCAAGCATCCTGCTGAAGGAAACGGGAAGTGTACAGCACAAAGTCATTCCGTTGTGCTTTCATTTCATATTACGCTCGGTGTCTCATTTTACAACCCACTACCGGCTTGGGTAGTAGAGAGAAAGCGGAAACATGGAAATACCTACTACTCCAAGTAAAGCTCGGATGTATAAGTGCAATTCAAAAGATCCTTTTGTCTAGTTAATTTCATTGATTAAAGGGAATGAAATGAATCTATGTGATATCTTATATTCGTTTTAGGATAACGTTGATTCTCACTCTACAGGCATCCTCTTATTATGAACGATTTTATTTAGTGATAGGTAACTTTCAGCAATTAATCATTTTGTCAAGCTTCTGCATTAATGTTCCATAAGATGTCATTGCTGTTGTTTGCGGTGACATTTATCGGAAACTACACCCAATCTATTTTCCTATAATTGTTCACAGAGGACATTACAGTGCAAAACATGTCTGGTACATCTATATATGCATTTAGATTATTATTCGAAGTCCTTTTTACACATTCCCGCCGATTTTTATGAATGGGGCGGAGAATAAAGTATGTTTCGCGCAGAATATGTAAAAAAAAGGGGACTTCAAATGTTAATTTAAATGCATATATAGAGGCATCAAACATGTTTTGTAGTGACAGGTACTCTATTTTGTAATCTGTGAAAGGGAAATCACAAATCGAGTGTCATCAAAAAAAAAGGCATGTTGAGAGATTGAGGTCATGAGAGCAAATTTTTTCTCTCAAATTTGAATTTGTTGGCTCTCTGGGGACTGGTAGTAAAGCAGGTAAAACTGTATGGGAAAAAAATTGTTTTTATTTAATTGTAGCTTGCTTAACAATCATTTCCGGGAAAAAAATGAACGACAAAGTCCCTGACTAATTTCTTTAGATTGTTGTCAACGAAAGGAAGCTCATCACTGCTTCAAAAAGTGAAAAAAAAATCGATGTGCTTCAGAAAGCCAACTAGCGGTGGAAAGTACGCTTTTTACACGGAAAATATTGGTAGCATTATACCAGTTTTAAAGACAGGTATAAGTACAGCCTGACTTCTTTAAAACGGTTTTATAACAAATGAAATATTTTTCTATCAAGACAATTCATTCGTATAGTAGCGTATACGGTAAAGTAGAAAACCGAAAATTCCGACACAGGCCAATTGATTTTACTCTCGATATGTAAGTAAAACATAACGTCGGACAAAATGCGCTGTATTCGTACAACGTTGTATTTATACAGTCTGTCGAATTGAAAATATGCGTATGGTGGAACCCTCAACCAAAATTCCAAGTTGGAAAATAATGCTCGAAAAATATAAAAATGCAATCAACGTGATTACCTCTCACCCCAGCAGGCCTGGGTTCAATCCCAGTCGGCGCCACCGGGATGTTCTGAGGCATAACATCTCTGGTCCCCGGTTCATAAGTTGATGGGTCGATAGGTAGGGTCCAGGTGTGGGAGCTGTCTCCCTGGCGTCAGTAGCATTTGCGTTTAGCACGGAAAACAAGATCGACGGAAAACAAAAAGAGAAAAAATGCAATACATCTGCCAAACACAGACAAATGCCAGAGACGTTGAATAGAGACACGCATAGACTGAAATAAAAAGAACCAAACGAACCGTCAAACGCTGAACCAAACGAGCAAAGTAAATAAACATTACTATTCGCTCAATTCACCAGAAAGGTATGATAAATGATAAAAAGTTTTTTTTCACGAAATAATTCAGATAGGGTAGAGAACTACTTCGGCCTAATCGCCCATTTTGGGCCTATCGAGCAGAATACTTCAAATAAATCCATGATTTCAGAGTTAACAAGTCAAATATGCGTTTGTTACGATACTTGAGTAAATAAGCTACCGAACGAAGTCAATGAGAACGCGTGGTATGAAGGTTTGCACCCATTATTTCCAAAACAAAAGAAACGCTCCGACCGAATCAATTTTCATCTTCCTCCGATAGGCCGATGTGAATTCATTGGCGTTTCGATGGCGTTTCAATGCGTTAGGCCGAGTTTAGAATCCGTAGGCCGAGTTTGGTGTCAAGAAGCAGTGTTAGACTTTTGACAACATCTCAACAATTGGTTTCTCTTTTTCAAATCTTGCAGTACGTGCGGAAAGGTAAATAAATTTGAAAGCCATCAGTAATAATAACACTCCGTTTGGTGCTAAACTGCGCTAGATTAAAAAAGACTAAGTGTGGGTTGTGCTTAATAGGCCGGAAATGAGGTAGTTAACCCTATCAAATTATTTATTTATTAATTGTTGATTCAATTAAATACAACATTTATTAGTGATGAAAATCAATTTCGAATCGGAACGTTTTATTTAGTTTTATGGTAATAAAAATGATTGCGCTGCAAGCAAAACAGTAAAATATGACAAAAGTTATATCACAAACGAGGTGACAGACGACTAACTGACGAAGAAATCAATTAAAATAATGTAGTTCGCTGTAAAAGATTTTTTTTAGAAGCTAGTGCCATCAGCCACCAGATGGGCTAGTATTTTTGTTTTGTTTACAACAAAGTTGATTTTGTGTGCAATGATCTTTGACAGTGTGCAAAGAGTGTACCATTTTGTCTTTATTCATGCATTTCAGTTTTGAGTAGAGTGAAAGAGACATATTCAAAACATTCTAACACTATTGGTGAAAATGCTAGTACAATCCAGCAGTAGTGTTGCCATGTGATACACTGAAAAATTGCAATAGCAGGTTCGTCACCCAAGTTTTCGAGACGCTCCGTCTGTCACTTCGTTTGTGGTTATACTGTCATGGAGCGACTGTCATCTCTCGTCTTCGATTTATTTTTGCAAAATGTTCCGCGCACTTCATTTCTATTCAGTTCCGGTCGAACGTTCAAATTTTCTCAACAGCATTGTGGCACTGTATGAAAGTCATTTGAAGCCACTCGAAGAAACATGTTTGCCAGTGACATTGCCAAAAGATTCATCAAAAACCGTGCTGCCGGTTTGACAGAAATTTTCTTTGCGCGTCTCTATCAACGTCTCTGACAAAAGCGAGCCCAAATCACAAAAAATGCATTAACATTCATAATTGACGTTTATTCACTGCACGGTAACTTTATAGTACACATTTATGAGTAGAATTTCTCCCATTTTGTGAAAATCACAATTATGGCGGCAAGCTCCAACTTGGATTAACTTTTAATACAGTCCCTGTTTGGATGACCTGCTAATTTTTTTCTTAGAGTCGTGTTGATCAACTCTGATGTCGACATCAAAGTAGCCAGACATTCTTGATCGGGATTTAATCCGAGGACCGGCTCGAGCTTCCCACCATAAATAATTAATAAATTGCCTATTAATGAGTAACTGTAATCCACAAATGAGTAAACATTATTCATTGGTAGATAACCGAGTGCATAACATATACTCATTCACGAGCTCGTTTACGAGCTTTTTAATGGATAATGTGTGAAATAATAATTTATCAAACTGCATGTAATTTTACTCATTACTGAATATTTTATAGTTAGCGTGTGATTGACGCATTTGTATGGCGTGGATAACATCAAAACAACATCATTTGTGAGTTGTTGTCCTCGACTCCAGGAAAATTTTCATTGATCGATTTTCTTCACTTTTTTTATATCGTTGCAAAAACATTCACTGCTGTGATTGTTATTATATTTAGTAGATATGCAATACATTACATTTTTTAAAGCCTCCCTTAGATGTATTCATACGATTTCTGCTACATAGTTTGATCGTTTGATACTTAAAGGAGGTTATCATCTGTCATGCAGCATAGCAACCGCATCAAGGAATATGTTTGCCACTGAATTATTAACGAAAGACAAAGTCGATGAAGAGAACCAATCAAAATCACTTGCACCCTGTTGTCTCTAATCCCCTCAGTCAGCAAGCGTAAACTTCTAGTTGGGACAAAATAGCTAAAGAAGAAAAAAAAGAAGATTACATTTTTTCTTTAAGCTATTTGGCACAAATAGCATGAAGAATGTTTGCAAAACTGTGGTTACTCAATTAGAATATCAAATAAATCCTGAAAAGAATAGGTAAATGCAGACAGAACCTCTTGAAATGTTAATCTAGTTATGGCCAGCATATGCATAAATACAAAAAAAAATTGTACACATTTTTGTGAGCTTTAAAACAACAGTTCGCATGAAGCAGGATGAACTGTTAAGCTAACGGTCATTTCAAAACGTAGTCAGAAATTATACCGTTTTATGTCAGATTAAGCTGAAACTAACACGCTAAATATAAAATGATTAGAGGAAGCAATAATCGATATTGATTTTTCAATCGAGTAAACACTTTCTGGATCAGCGTTTGCATAAAGTTGATGTTTCTTTCTTTGTTGTTGTTCACTCTTTTTGACCTGAAAATACACCGAAAGCGAATTATTCCCACTTCTCTCAATTTCTATATGAGGATTTTTATCACTTCCTACCAGCGGAACAGTGCCATCTCTGTGGAAAATGGTCGAACGAAATGATTAATTGAAAACAAGACCGAAAACAGTTTTTTAAACTTAATTAACTGACATAACCCCAAGCCAACGAAACTTCCTCAAAGTATCAAGGCTGCAAAATGCGCGTCGAATCATGATTGACATGGCTGGTTATCAACTATGCAATAATCAACCGTTGTGATTCAGCCACCATTCGAAAGTTATGGCTAACGGGTGTTCAATAAAAAATGAGAATTTTTCAATCAGCTAGTAAAAGAAAAAAAAAATTTCATCGAATTCAGTATTTTTTATTAAAAACATAATGTTCATTCTTCAAAAAAAAAACGGCAATGAATATTGGAGAAAGGGCCCTGGTCAGCCTACGACGCAACTTAATCGCGAT